TGTTTATTGTTATTTTTTTTTATATAAATATTGTATATTTAATATATTTTTCTCTTTTTTAACTAAAAATTCTTATTTCAGTTTAATCACTTTGTTTATTTTATTTATGTTTCCATCGTTAGTGCACACCATAAATAAATTTTTTTTTTACTTAGAATACTTTTGATTTTTTTATTAAATTATATACACTTCGTTTTATTTAAGTATATTTTAAAAATACTAAACCTAAAATATTTTCTTTAATTTTTATTTAGTTTCCTCACAAAATTGTATGGCAATTCACCTAAGATACAGTTATTAAAAGAGAAACCTAATTTCAGATCTTCACTTCCGCCAATAGAAGTCACTGCTAAACACAGAGCACACACTAGACATCCGTTTGGCGAAAAAACATCTACGAAACTGAATGAATTTCACTAACGTGCCACAAAAGTAAATTTTCAACTCAACCATAGCCAAAACCGAAACGCGGATGTGCTCGCACCGTAAACACGTTGAACGCGACACTATTAGCTACCTACTTGCCACTTGAAGATGCCCGCATTTGCAACTGACGGTCGCCGCATAAACGAAAGTGTCTAGAACTCTCACCAGACCAAGAGCGTACGGCGAACGACCACCGCACAAATACACCCACATGTGGGGAGCCACACACTAACACACATACACAAGCAGAAGGCACACGGAGGCACATAGAGCCAGCTGCAATCAAGTGTATAATAGAAACACATGTAGAATGTGTCAGCGGGCACACGAAGCGAAAGAATTAAAACAAAAACCGAAAAACATGAAAAGAAAATCAATTAAAAGAGAGAGTCGAGAGCTACAAATCGCACGGAGCAAGCGTTGGGGAAAATGTGTGTGTGCTGTAAATTGGAGTAAAGTGAAAATTCGTTAAAGCAAAAGTGCTGATAATAAATTTCAGAGCAAGTGCAGTTGCGGGAAACCCTCGTATGTATATGTGTGTTTGTGCGGGTAATAACAAAACAAAAATAAAAAACGAAATTAAAAACCGACAAGTTATAAATAAAGCCAAACAAAGCGGAATGGAAAGAAAACAAAGCGGCGGCAGCAGAATTTGAAATAAACCGCACATGGCAAGCTGTCCACAGCGCAGCAAATGAAAACAAACACACAGAAGGCGATGAGAATAATGTATAAATGAAATCGTAGAAATTCAATACATAGAAGAGCACAATGAAGAAGCGGCAAAAATGTATAGAAAGACTTTGCAAAACATGCGCTGCAATGCTGAACACGCTCGCCGTTGAAAACACAACACAAAACAGCTGATGCGACAGTGGGACAAATTGCAAAACAAATATATTCACTTATTGGAGAATAGTGTTACAAAATATTTGTTGAAATTAAATAAATATAATGGATTAATATTACTTATTAATCGTTAACTTGTTTGTTCTGACGCTCGAAAACCCTTCACAAGTGCATTTGTTCTAGCATCAAAGTGTATGGGTCAGATTAGATGGCTGATTAAGGATCGCACGTGGACTACTATATGTGGCTTTTTGTGATGCCATAGAAAAGAAGAACTCCTCTGCTCGAACTTACAACTCTTAGTAGCCAATTCGAATTTGCACAGGTGTTTAATTTTTATTCCCGCCAGCTTAGTGGGTTGTCTGAAGCTATGCACTCTCAAGGGCATAAGTCTGGACCTCCCAAACGCTGGACACACAAGAAAGAAGTGTTGGGTTCGATCTTGGCCCATAAGGCTTTTGCGACAGCATATGTGGCGATGGTGACCCAGCGATGCCCAAGCTTCCGCGAAGCCCAGCTATTTAGAAGTAGAAGACAAGAGGCTACGGGAGAACCAATCCGCATCCCATTCTGCCGATAGCGGTTCTAGGGTACCTTCCCAGCTAGCTCATCAGCTTTAAAGGTCTCATACAGGTCTTATCAAAAACACATTCTATGCTATTATTAGCGAGATTAGGCACTCTTCGACCAGCCCTGAGCGCACTGCTCAAGACTTGTATCGTCGCTCTGCTATCTGAGTGGATGGTCACTTCTCTAAAGAAGGCTACACTCCGGAGCGGCAAATCTACTGCTTGTTTAATAACTACAACTTCGAACTGGAAGACACTGCAATAGTCAGGAAGTCTGTAACTGAAGTTGATAGAAAATATAGTGGTCCAATAACGGCGATTGCTTCAAATTGGAAGCTTCTTGGGAAGAAAAGCACTTGTGCAAAATTTCAGAGCGATATCTCAAAACTAGCTGCTAATTTGCGTGTTTACAGGCAGCCGGACTTGTCTAAATCGACTCAGCTCGTCAGGCAAATCATTTATATATACATATGTATATTTCATAACCGTCGGATTTCTGCTGAGGGCTAGAAACTTTTTGACAAAATGAATACAAAGGATGATCCATTTAGATGTTGCCTACTTTTTTAAATAATAAACTTCAAATGTAAAGGGAATGTTTATTAACATTCGAAGGAACACTCTCTGGCATTTATTTTTTGAAAAATTATTTATTTTAAATACTGGTGAGACGTAGCCTCATATTGTTCATCCGTTAGCCCAATTTTCGATGACTGTTTCGAGCATTTCGACTGGTAACAGCCGAATAACACGAGTAAAGTTTTGCTCCAAGACCTGTATCGAAGCTGGATTATCCGTATAAATTTTAGACTTTATACATCCCCACAGAGAAAATGTCTGACGGTGTGATATCACACGATCTTGGTGACCAATCGACAAATTCAGGCATCATTGATCGTTACGTTCCCACCGGCATCATTTTTGAAGAAATATGGACAGATAATTCCACCGGTTCACAAACCGTACCAAACCGTTTTTCTGGATGAAATGGCAGCTTTCGAATCTCTTCAAGTCGCCCTTTCGTAATGACCTTCGACGTTGAACAAAATCTGCGTCTTCTTGGAACGTTTCAATAGCCCAGAGTCGCTTGGGAAGGTCGAGCGGCTTCAGTTCTTCCACAAGCTGTATTTTGCACACTTTCAATTTAAGATTTCGACGTAAAATGCACCAAGTCGTTTCATACGTCAGTTCGAATTTCTGCGAACGCTGCCGAGTGAACTCTCCACTATCTTCGTGCAGGAAGCTCAGTAGGTCGATTAAGTTGACCATAAGTTGAGCGAAACATTTTCTTCACAGAACGTGAATTTTCGTAATAAAATGTCAAACAATACTGAAAAAACAAAAGAATACCATGAGAACTTGACACTTGCTCTAGAAAAGAGTACCGTTACTTGGATCACCCGTCATATAATGTTACTTAGAATAATATTTCCAAATTTTGGTACACAGTAATTGATTTTACATCAGGATATGATGGTCTGGCGTGGACTCCCTATATGACGTAGACTTCAGCTGAAATTTAACTGATCAATAACAGTGGTAAGTATAAGACAAGAAAAGACAAAAGAAGATATTGATATTTTACAAAGAAGTCAACATAATCCTTTTGCAAAAGGAATCAAAAAAAAAAAAAAAAGAAAATGAAATTACTAATCTAATTATAAAGTTCTTAATAGCATGTTAAGACAAGTTGACTACATCAAACCCTGCATTGGACTTTATGATTGGATTAGTCAATGCATTTTTATTAATTATTGTTTCTGTCTCAGCTGCTAACTTTACACAAAAAAACTTAATATATTTTATAAAAACTCTACAGTCCAACGAAACAGGATTTTACGAAACTTTAATTTGATTGTATGTAGTTTTGGGGTCGGTCCTCAAACAATGCGATTGTTTTCACCTTGATCTCATCATTCTGTACACAGATTTCATATCCAATGATCCCCTTTTTGAAGCTGGGAAAGGGGCATAGTTGCCGACAAAGTTCTTTGACAGTATTCTCGTGCCTGAGCCTTTATCTGACAATACTAAGGACCTAAACTTCTAACGGTTGATCCAAGTAGAAGTACTTTTTTCAAGACCTTTTTTTTACCAATCACACGTGAGTGGTGTCAAGCTGACATGTTTGTTTGTTGACCATTGTTTGGCCTCTGATTATGGAAAAATTACACCTGAACAACTTTTACAAATCGTTCAACTTTATTAGGAAAATTCACGTTCTGTAAAGAATGTGTTTCGCGCATTTCGCTCAACTTACTGAGAGTAGTATTCGCAACACCATCACCCATCTTGAGAGCCAGCATTCATTGTTGGATAACATACGACCGAAAAGACCACGTTCAGCACGCAGTGAAGAAATTATAGCAGCCGTAGCTGAGAGTGTACACGAAAGCCGTCAAGAGTCGATTTGGCGTCGTTCGCAGCAACTCGGTCTGAAGTATGGAACTACTTGGTCAAGAGATTTACTGAAAGAAAACTTCGGTGAGCAGATATTTTCACGTTTTTGGCCGCTCGACTGGCAACCAAGATCCTGTGATATCACCGCGTTAGTCTTTTTCCTGTGGGGATGTGTAAAGTCTATGCGCACAATGATAGAATGAAATAAATGATCTTTCGAATGATAATAAACATTCGCAATTAAATTTGAGGTTTCTGTGTTTTTTTTTCCTCCAAAAAAAGGAGGGAACTTTGAAATGGGTCACACTTTATGTATGCTGAAACATAACCTAACTTACTACTCTGATAATTGGAAAATATGAAATTTGTTAAAATTTCCAAAAGCGTAGGGATCAATAACAGTCGTAAGTATTAAGATAAGAAAAAATAAAATAAAGAATATATTTTTTTAACATTTGATAATGAAGTCAATATAAACCTATTAAGATAGAAATAGAATTAAACTTATTTTTGTGTTTAAAAAGCATTACTAATCTTAAAAAAAGAATCAATAAAAATGCAATGACTTATCTAATCGTGAAGTCCAATGCAGATCTTGGTGCTTGATGTACCCAACTTATCTTAATAGTTTGTTAATCTAATCGGTTTTACAATCGAAATTTTTACTGCATTACTGCTGGATGAAAAAAATTTAATCGTCTGCGATATAATTGAGGTTTAGCCCGTAAAGGTAGTGGACGGTTTCTGTGGTTCTTGGTCGATTGAGTAATAAAACTATGTTCTTAACGCTTTTGATATCACTGCTGACGTTGCTCGTAGTCGGCGACTACTTGAAAAAAAGGCGACATAACGAGATTTTTAAGAAAAATGGCATTAACTCTATGCCAAGCCTGCCAATTATAGGCGTGGCACATCATCTCATCAAAAAGACACCTGCTGGTAAACAAATATTGAACAAGCAGGAAGTATAATAATAAAAAACAAAAATATTTATATTTCTCATTCAATAGATATGATAGAGTTCACTGGCGATGTGCTTAAAAATATCGGCAAAACCTGCAACTTATGGCTTTTAAACCAGTCATCGATTTTAACAGCAGATCCCGTATTTCTCGAACCACTCTTGAGCAGTCAAAAAGTGTTGACGAAAAACAATCTTTACGGGCTGCTCAGCCCGTGGTTGCGTGAGGGTTTGCTACTTAGCACCGGACCTAAATGGCATAGTCGACGAAAGATCATTACGCCCACATTCCATTTCAAAATCTTGGAAGAATTCGTCGGTGTTTTCGAGCGGCAGAGTAATGTTATGATGGATTTGTTGAGGGATAAAGCTGATGGTGAGACAGTGGTGAATCTGTATTCGTTTGTTTGTGCCATGGCGTTGGATGTGATAGCGGGTGGGATGGAGGTGTTAAGTAATTTTTAAGTATTAAATATTTAATTTTTGTTTTAAATTTACTAGAAACCGCCATGGGCGTGAAAATTCATGCGCAGTTACAACCAGATTTACCTTATGTGAAAGCCGTGCGTACGTGAGTATTGAGATATCATTAGGAGCCGCCGAGCTCGAACGATTAACACATATTTATAATGGTGAATTTTATATTTTTTGGCTCTTCAATATTTTGTGGTTCCGTACACTTATTTCTATGGTCAGCGTTTCGGCTATTACTTCGGCGCGTTTTATATCAGTGCTGCAGAGGTTCGATTTCTGGCTATGGCTCACTGCTAACTCCACATATAAGCAACTCCACAGTAGCATTGCGCTAATGCACGATTTCACCGGGAAAGTTATCGAAGAGCGACGAAAGCTGCTGGAAAAAAATATAAAAAATCCACAAGCAACACAAACCAAATTACACGACGACGATGACGAAGATTTTGGCCGCAAAAAACACACCGCTTTCCTGGATATGTTGTTGTTGGCAGATATTAACGGTCAACCACTCACCAACAACGATATACGCGAGGAAGTGGACACATTCATGTTTGAGGGTCACGATACCACGACTAGCGGCATTGCATTCACATGTTATTTGCTCTCGCGTCACCCGAACGTACAGCAGAAGGTGTTCGAGGAGATACGCGCTGTGATAGGTGATGATAAGCAGCGACCGATCACGTTACGCGATCTACAAGAACTAAAATACTTGGAATGTGTTATAAAGGAATCGATGCGTCTGTATCCGCCAGTACCCTCTATTGGACGGCATATTGAGCAGGATATTTATTTTGGTGAGTTAAGCAATTGTGGGCATAACCTCAAATCAAATTTTTCTATATAGAAATTTACAAATGTTTAGACGGCAAGCTGTTTCCTGCCAATACCAATGTGACAGTTATGATTTATCACGTATTGCGTGATCCTGCGTATTTCAAGGATCCCGAAAAGTTTATACCTGAACGTTTTTACAGCGATAATGCCGAAAAAATAAATACCTTTGCCTATGTTCCCTTCAGTGCTGGTCCACGTAATTGTGTCGGTCAAAAATTTGCTTTACTCGAGATGAAGAGCACGATTTCTAAGATTTTGCGTCACTATGAACTATTGCCACTCGGAGAGGACGTGCGTCCTTTAATGAACTTGGTTCTTGTTTCTTCAAATGGTGTTAATATGGGCTTAAAATCAAGGTTATGCATATCATAACTGATTCATGGATATGTTTAATCATTGAGAATGTTTTCTTGAAACTTTTTTTAACTTGTACTATTTTTTTCGATAATAAACTTTTTATTTTTTTATTTTTGATATATAAATGTTTCTTCGAAATATGTTTTGAATTTTGTTGTTGGAATATTTTATAGAAGTCCAACGTAGTCACCATCCAACTGATTTAATTATTTCATGAGGAGTCTTCTGAAAAGTCACTTCTTTGAGAAAAATCTGGAGGAAAAATGTACCAGCAGGATGTTTTAGATGGCTTGGAAAGGCAGCTATGCAATACTCGCTTTGATGAAGAGCATTGGATTTTCCAGCAAGATTCTGTTCCAGCACACAAGTAAAAAATGAAGCAATCTTCCTGGCAGAAGATTGGCCGTTGAGATTGGACTCCAATTCGAAAGTGGAAAGGAAAGTCTCAAAAAATTCTTTGCTTTGAGCAGCATTTTGTAAAGATTGGTCGATGACCAGCTACTATGCGACTGCGAGATCTTACGGGCCAAGAGCAGCAGATGTACTGATTTAGAGTTTCCAAACAGATTTAATCCTGATGTAACTTTGAGTTTTTACTGGACTTACTATATGGCTAAAAAAAAAAAAACAGTCGGACGCAATTTGCCAAAGTTTTATGGAACAACATTAAGTGGAGACATTCTGGCTTTTCTCCTATAATTTCTAACATCCGAAAGAACGGGGATGAATCATGCTGGCAGATATACCTTCGGCCAACAGGAAACATAGCTTAAACTTTCATTGGTCATCTTAACAAATTTGTGATCGGCTCAAGCGCTTAGGTACTACAACGGACCGACCTTAAAAGTTATTCGAAAGAGATTTCTGTTGAAATTTACTATTTGGCCTAACCTAATTGAATCGACTTCCGAAACTTTCAACGCGTCTTTTCTCGAAATGCTGTCTTCGGAGTCGGTGAGACAAATTCTCCGAAACGGATAAATAGATCAATCGATCACAGGCTCTTTTTAGCTATTTTTGTAGTTATCGAATGTACTAGGATTTTTGATAATGCAACTGCAATTAATATTATTTTGTTTTTCAGACAGGTGGCAGCACTTTTTGCAAAAAAACTAACAGAACGGAATAAAAGTACTGCTTTATTTCCAAACTTTATTTAATTTACAGTCATAATGTGGTAAACCATAACTGCAATAAATTTTTTTCTGTTTTTGAGACAGGTGGCAGCATTTAAAAAAAAAAATTACTGCTTTATTTCCAAACTTTATTTAATTTACAGTCATAATGTGGTAAACCAAACCTGCAATAAATTTTTTTCAGTTTTTGAGACAGGTGGCAACACTTTTTACAAAAAATAAAATTACTGCTTTACTTCCAAACTTTATTTAATATACAGTCATAATGTGGTAATCCATAACTGAAATTTAATTTTTTTCTGTTTTTCAGACAGGTGGTAACACTTTTTACAAAAATATTTACAGAACGCGATAAAAATTCTGCTTTATTTCAAAGGTTTATTTGATTTACAGCCATAATGTGGTAGCCCCTAACTGCAATTAATTTTTTTCTGTTTTTCAGACAGGTGGTAACACTAAATAAAAAATAAATACTGCTTTATTTCAAAGGTTTATTTGACTTACAGTTATAATGTGGTAGCCCCTAACTGCAATTAATTTCTTTATGTTTTTCAGACAGGTGGCAGCACATTTTACAAAAAAATAAAATTTTTCCTTTACATCAAAAGTTTATTTAATTTACAGCAATAATTTGGTAAACAGCTATTAATTTTTTTCACACGGGTGGCAACCCTTTCCTTTTCAAAATTTTAACAGATCGGGGTAAAAGTACTGCTCCTCGTCAAAAGTGTATTTATTTTACAATTTTACTTCCAATTACGCTAATTTATTTTGCAGCCTAGGTGGCAACTCTATTTACTACATTACACAACAAGTATTATACATATAAAGTAACATTTCATTCTTTTGTAATTCCGTAAGCATTCACAAGGAGATAAAGAAATCTGAGAAATATCACACGCAACTAATTCAATTGCCCGCCGCAAGTAGCCACAGTAAGTTCAAGACCTCGTGAGTTTCCATATAAACAGACCTCACATACACACATAAAGAAGATGCATAGGAAAAGCGCAAGTTCAAGAGCATATTCTATTCAAATTACAATTTACACATAAACTAAAGTTTATACTATATTCTTATATAAACATACATATGTATATGTGTATATGTACACATACATGTATAAATACAAACACAGTGTGACATTTTAATTAAAGTGACTTATGAATAAAAAAAAAAAATGAAACGTCAGTCAGGAGGTCGGTGAATAGCATTTTATTTATGTGATTATTAAATGAAGCATGTGTCAGTACATACATACGTATGTGTGTGTCTGAATGTGTAGGCATGGCGAAAGCGTACAATTCGCCTGTGAACTTCCTGAATCATCGCTGTAAACAAATACATACACACACATACATACATACAGAAATATTTATATAAGCTGATGCAGTATGAAGTCAATAAACCACAACATCTTCGTGCAGCTTTGTATGCGCCAACACCTTCATATTTAAACACACTTACACACATACACATGCGATTCAGTGGTGACTGCATTTACACATGTCATATGCAATTTATGTCTGTCTTTTTTCATTTTTTTTTTTAAATTCTGCTATATATTTTATGGCTTTTGTCTGCGGAATTGCAGGCAATAAACAATTGCCACTGCTAGGAAAACATATCTGCGTCACATACTCGCACATGTGATGACAGCGATAAGCAGGTAATGCCGAGATCCACGCCAAGATTATGTGAATTACTGCAGTCATCTCATAAAAAAATAATAATAAACTCATGCGAAGCCTCCATTATGCGTGATTAGTTTGATATTGAGTCAAGTTACCTTCGCATAATTAGTATTGAGCAAGAAATGCATAACGTCATATATAATGGCCGAGACTTCCTTGTTAATCAAAACATCTTTCATAATTTATTTAATGCGGAATACGTAAATTTTTGCCCACTGTGAATATCAAGAAAAAAAGTAGTGGAAACTAGAAGTCATCATTCGTTCGATAGAGTTCACAGTTTCTAAAATCTTTCACAATATTCCCAGATTTCGGCAGTGTTTAAGGAATTATGTATACCCACTTGCAAAGGGAGGGGAAAAAATTAGTGTTACTATAGGCGGATGCAAGCAATAATCGAAGGATTTTTCAAAATACAGATTTTGGACGGAATAGCGGATTCCTAAAAAAGGTCCTTTTTACACTTCAGAGTGGCTTAAAAATCCAAACGTTTATCAAAAATCGTATTCCTTCCATCATTACCTGACAAATATATCTGTGAAAATTTCAAGTGGATCGGCCTTTCATGAAACTTGGGACTAGTGTTCCGCACTCTAACAGGCTTAGCTTATATGTCAAAAATCACTGAGTAATTTGAAGCAGACATCGCATTTTAGGTTGTCCGAAACAGAGTTGGCGCATACTGGGTAACTCTAAATGACCTGCGGCCTTCACATTCTTACCAACTCCTGGGCAGGACTATAGCTTTGACATGGGTTGCGATTAGAAACTAACTTTTGCTTGAATTTCGGAAAAACTCTGTGCTGGTAGATGCTGCATTCTGCCACTTGAGTATGCCGGGGTGGAACTCAGCAGAAATGGCGTCTCCGTCCCGTGAAAACCATGGCAAACCTCAGATGTGTGGTAAGGGGCCAGCTTCCGGCCGAATCTTACTCCTCAGGCGAACTATAAAATATTGAAATCCCTCGCTGTGTACGCACGATTGACGAGTTATAGGGCTTGAGAGAACCGATGAACTTTATCAGCAATCACTGATACTGCTAAATGCGGAGTTCATCGATCCTCTCAAGGTGTTCAAGAGGCCCTAAATTATGGTTTTAGGAAAGTGACTCTGTGCGGTAGAGGAGAAAGATGAAGATGTCCTATGGATCATACCATGGAGGTAAACCCGATTCTATCAGACCTAGCTATAATTACCCTCTTTCAATCGAGATCCTAAATTGAAATCATACAAAAAATAAAGCTTGTGCAAGTACTGAAAGCCGTTCGACCTTCCCAAATGACATCGCTTCGCTCTATGAGTTCTGGAAAAGTTCTAAGAGGATCCGACGTATTCCAGCCAAACATTGTTCAGCGCTGAGGCCTATTCTGGCTTAATGGGTATGTACACAACCACATTTGGGACGAAGAGCAAACTGAAGAGATTAAGGAGCTGCCATTTCATCCAGAGAAAACAACTGGTTGGTGTGGCTATACATACTATATTTCTTCGACAATGGTGCCGATGGTAACGTAACCGTCAGTGGCGAATATTATCGCGTCACGATAACCGACTATTTGATGTCTGAATTTGAAGCTTGTGATCTCGACATCATCAACAAGACGGCGCCACTTCCCACACATCGCATTTCACATTTTGGGCCGGTCGGTTGGCCACCAAGATCATGTGACACGTTTGATGCTTTCCCGTGAGGATATGTAAAGTCAGGATTGTATGCGGACAATTCCGCTTCGATTCAGGGCATGGAGCAAAACATCACTAGTGTCCTTCGACAGTTATCAGTTGAAATGCTCGAACGAGTCATCAAAAATTGGACTCAACGGATGGACTGTCTGAGATGTAGCCACGGCCAATATTTGAAAGAGATAATTTTCAAAAAATAATTGCCAAATAATATGCTTCCGAATGATAATGAACATTCCCTATTAAATTTGAAGTTTCTGTATATTTTCTTTAAAAAAGTGGGAACCTCGAAATGCATCACCCTATATACATATATGAATTTGAATAAATAATAAATTTCAGCGCCTTTTGTAAGCATTTGTATTAATTAGTTTTTCACCACACTTGCGACTCTAATTATTTATTCAAAGTAACAATTGCGGCGGCACATGCTACCCACAACTCTTGCTAGATAACGGTTGCTACCGCTCATATGAGCTGTTATACGAGCTGTCATGTCAAATGAAAATGCAACGAGGCAGACACACGATGACTGACGG